AGATTAAGACCACCTCACTTGTATCTCTTAAAAGGACTTAAGTTAATAAATGGATCCTCTCCCTAGGTCTGTCTACCAGGATCTTGTGGCCAAAAGAGTGATTGAACCAGCTGAGGAAGTGCCTCCTCCAACTGTGCCAATGGATTACTCCTGGGCAAGGGTGAGCTGTGCTGTTTTACCTGCTTTTTGGTTCCTTAAAACCAGACAGGATGTTTGCTGTGATTCTGGATGCTTATGGTGATAATGGTGTTGCCTTGGGGTTTTATCTCGCACTTTACAGTGTTATCTGTGAGGTCACTGGCTACGCTGGTTCTAGGCTGTGGAAGCTGCTCTGAGGCATTGTTGTTTGACCACTCTGCCTCCTACTGCCCCTTGATGGAATGTTTAAAATCCCATCTTTATGCTGCGATTTCAGGAGCTGGGTCTGATCCGCAAGCCGGCTTCCTTTATGACGAGCATCTGTGACGAGAGAGGTCAGGAACTGATTTATGCTGGGATGCCAATCACTGAGGTCTTCAAAGAAGAGATGGGAATTGGAGGGGTTCTGGGCCTGCTCTGGTTTCAAAGGAGGTGAGGCAGCTTTTTGTGAAAGCTCCCAAATTATTCTGATTCTTTGGCTTGAAGTTTTGCTTGTTTTATTAATAGATTTCTAAGCACAAAAGTAACTCCAGGATTCCTTCGTGAATGTAGATTCATTGGAAATGCCATCTCCTTATCCCCTCCTCTGAGACCACATCAGCATTTCAAGGCTTCATACAGTATGTTTTAGTCTTGGGATGAAGTTTTCCACAAGTTTTGTGGTGCATTGAGGAAATTTCTCTACTCTAGGCCTGTTTCACACTCTCTGACTACTTGCTTATTACAATTGTCACCTCAACTCTGGAGATATTGGGGAGTTTACAAACATTTGCTAACCAGCCTGCAGGGAACCTTCTGAATGGCGGAAGCTTGCTGCCTTCATCTGATCATGCTTTCGTTAGAGGCACTCTTGGCACTAGCTGGAATCTCTGGCTTAGCAGAACAAGATGAACAGAACTGTAGCATAGCCTCGTGGCTCTCCTCAAGGGGACCCACAGAGCTTACTGATCAGCCAGGCTGAGTTTGCACACACTCAGCTACAAAACTGACCCTCAGCTCTGAGCTAAACAGCCCCTGTGGAAACGGAATAAAAATCATCTGATCTCTGAGAAAGATATTAGGATGTGCTGATGGGTATTGTGACCCTACAGCTCCCTTTCTCTGTTCTGCTTCTTTCAAGCATACACCTAAAACAAAAGTCACTGTCCAGTATAACATCAAGTGTCTTGTTGTTCAGTTTTCTTCACAATAAATGACTTCAGTCTCTTCCTTGCTCAGGTTACCAAAGTATGCCTGCCAGTTCATTGAGATGTGTTTGATGGTAACAGCAGATCATGGGCCTGCTGTATCTGGAGCCCACAACACCATTGTCTGTGCAAGAGCTGGAAAAGATCTTGTCTCGAGTCTCACTTCAGGCCTTCTTACTATTGTAAGTACTTAATCTCCAGAAGATTTTGCTTTGCTACTCATTACTCTGTCCAGGTTTTATTACTATCAATTTAAGATTTACATTGGCTGCAGAGCCACAGACAGGCTGTGTCTGTTCACTCACACTTTGAATTTCTGTTGGATTCAACTCTAATAGCTTGATGCTCTAGGTTTAAAACCTAGTCCATTTTTCTAGTAAGCAAGACTATTTTGATGTCTCTCACTTGAGTCTAGAAATATTTTGTAGAAGCCAAATTGCTGTCAGCATTGTCCCTATATGGTTGCCTAGTCTCTTCCAATACTGACAAGTAAAAATGTGAATAAAACAGACTTTAAATTGCATTTCCCCCTGCACTCTGTCTCTAGTGGAGATGCATTGGCTACATATTGACACTTGTGTTGAGTTATTAACAGATGCTTTATCTCAGGTGCCTGCCTGACTTTAATTTCATGAATGCCACATTGATAAGCAAGGCGGATGGGGAAGATAATCTTGTGCTTGTTTTGTACCTTAACTGTGGAGTCCTTTGCTATAATTCCCTTTTTGTGTATTGCACCCAGGGTGACCGGTTTGGTGGAGCACTGGATGCTGCAGCTAAAATGTTCAGCAAAGCCTTCGACAGTGGGATTATCCCTATGGAGTTTGTGAATAAGATGAAGAAAGAAGGGAAACTGATCATGGGCATTGGACACAGAGTCAAATCGGTAAGAAAACTGCATTAGTATACACCAGAGGTTTGTGTGGGGTTGGTTGGTTTGTTTTTAGAGGGGTGGGGGAGAGGAAGAAAAACGAAGGAAGGAAAATTAGCAACTTTCAGAGGCAGCTAATGACCAAATTCTCAGGAGTGTTAAATCCTAAACCTACAAATAGTAAAGCTTATGGCAAGTACCTTTGTAAGGAGGGAACATCAGTGACTGTAACGTGTTCTTAACTTGCAGATAAATAACCCAGACATGAGAGTTCAGATTCTCAAAGACTACGTGAAGCAGCATTTCCCTGCTACCCCACTGTTGGACTATGCACTTGAAGTAGAAAAAATTACAACTTCTAAGGTGAAATACACTAGTATTTATTTCCTCTTGAGCACTTTTTCTTACTGGGGGACATGTGACATGGGGTTAATACTGTATTTTAATTACAATGCTTCATAAGTTACAGCTGGGGTTTTGTTTTTCTATGGTAGACTTTGGGCCAAGTACAACTACAGTTTGGCAAGGCTGAAGACATTTGTTGGACACTAGGAAAACGCTGAACAAACCAAAACCCATTATCTGTGGTGTCCAGAGTTATCTGGAACTGCTGTAGTCTTTAAATCTGAGGCAGAGCTAGCGCACATGATGGGCTGTGGCAGATAATCTCTGTGGTTTGAACTAAATGCAGGCCCTTTGTTTGGGGCTGTTTTTCCATCATTTGCATTAAGCATGGCTCTTGCTCAAGTTGCTGAACAGCCTTTTCTATCGCTAGGCTTGTGTGCCCACAGTTATGGGCAACCCTCAAATTACCCTTGAGGATGGAAGCTGCCAGGTGAACATCATTTGCTGCTGTTAACATCTTTATTGGGGTGTGTGTTCATTTCCTGCAGAAACCAAATCTTATCCTGAATGTAGATGGCTTTATTGGAGTTGCCTTTGTTGATGTACTCAGGAATTGTGGCTCTTTCACACGGTAAGTAGCTAGTGGGCTGTTTCTCTTAGGTCACAGTCCTATAAAAATGATGGGAGCCATACTGCCAGCTCATGTGGGGCTAGGATTTCAAAAGGACATTGTGAAGGAAATGTAGCCTGGACTTGGGGGAAGGAGGCTTTCACATGAATTTGGTGTTGCTGCTGGCATTAAAGCAGACTCATAGCCTTTCTAAGATTGATTCCTTAAATAGATCACTATGAGGAACTACTTAATTTCTCTTCTCTTGCAGGGAAGAAGCAGATGAATATATTGATATAGGAGCTCTTAATGGCATCTTTGTACTAGGCAGGAGTATGGGATTCATTGGTAAGTTTGCCATCTTTCTGCCCCTTCCCCCCTACTAGGGGATGCCCTGCCACCGTGAACATGAGACATGTGAACCTCTGGGGACTCGGTCTAAAATGCTAGTTGTAGGAATACAAAATTTCTGCTTCTCCTCCTAGATTTCTGTAACATAAACCACTTTTGTTTTAGGACACTACCTGGATCAGAAGAGATTGAAGCAAGGTCTGTACCGTCACCCGTGGGATGACATATCCTATGTTTTACCAGAGCACATGACAATGTGAGAATCTGTAGTATTGCCTCAGAATGTCACTTCAAGAAGACGGAAGCCTGCACAGAGGACAGCCACAAATGGACTTTGATGTATAAAGGCCACTGGTACATAGACATTGAGCTGCCTGGTCAAACTGTGCAAAGCAACTGTTACAAGAATAGAAACTTAATCTAATAAAAACCAAAACTTGTGATATTCCATGTGTTACCTGCTGTATTTAATACTGTCTCTCACACTTTTATTTTTTCTACTAGTTTCATTTTGTTCCCAGAAAAGACTTTAAGGGTTTTGGGAGGAGAGTTCTGCTCATAGGCGCAGTCTTACTGAACTTGCAGAAGATCCGTTAGTCTGGTAACAAGATGTAACTTTTCCCAATAGAGGGGAAAGTACCCATTGTTCCCATAAGCCATGACTTGGGCTTTTTTGTTGTTGGTTGTTTTTCAATTTGTTTACTGTGTTCTCATCTTCAGTCTGATTGTATCCTGAATAGTGGGACTGCTGCTGATGTATAAACAATGTTACTCAAACTCTGGTGTTAGTAATTTAAAGTGTAAAGTTGTAACATACTGCTGTTAAAACTGTGAAACTACATGTATTCCAGTGTCTGTATTTATGCAAACAACTTCTCATTTACTACTACATTGCTGGTATATGGAATGTCACTCATGTTATCTGCAGATGCAAAAATAATCTCAGTTAATAACTTCAGCGTCCTACTTGTCTGTGTATTGTAACCTAACTCAAATAAATGATACACTACTAACTTACTCTTTTTCCACTTCTGGCTTCTAAAAGTTGGTCCCAGACTGTGTCTAATGGAATGTGTGACAAGCTGGGGAACAGTCGTCTAACAGAATACCAAACCTCAGAGCAGTTATTCCTCTCACGGTGTGTGTTCTGGTTGATTTAAGAGAAGGGGGGGGGATGGGGACACCAAAAAACAACCTCTCCTGTTTCAGTGTGTGTCAGGATAAAATTTAGCAAATTAGAGAAGAAAAAGGAGGAAAGTAATTGTCTATAATTGATATAGCATTATACAAGAGTTAGGGAACTGTATCATATTGTATAGTAAACATTGAAATAATCAACTGCAGCTCACTTCATTCTAGTTAACAAAACCAAAAAAAGGTACCTTAGTTGGAGTGAGTGAATTCCTCATGTAAAGTCCCTTCCCTGCAGGCTTGCCTGAGAGAGTGATGTTAAGGAGAAAAATAATCAAAAGGATAGCTCAAGGCTCTGAATAAAACTATGCATGTTTTTCTGGTCTGTGGTACCTACGCAGTTTGGCAAAGCAATCTAATTCCCTTGCAACTGCAACGTGCGTAGCAAGCTACCTTTGTGCTAAATCACAAGGCTCGTGGGCAGATGCTCTGGCTGTCGCACCCGTGTCCCCACCAACCAACCCAGCTGTCACCTCCAGCACCAGTGCGATCCCAAAACGGAGAAGCATCGGGGACGGGACAGGTCAGGCTTCGACCCTCGCGTGGGGTAGGCCCAGCAGCTCCCTCCTGACGGGTTTTCGCGCTCGCCGGGCAGCAGCGCCCCAGGGAGCGAGGGGCGCAGGAACCGCC